GTTGAGTACCTTGGCCTTTTCCCTATCTCGTGTCAGCAGATCCTATGCCCCATTCAGTCATGGAGCCCTATTATTCCTGTTGCTGATGATATTTTTGCAAAAGCCTGTGAACCATTCTGGAGCATTCTTGATCCTCCTTCTTGCTTTGATCCGTCTTCTTTTTGGGATCCTATGCTCTACTGTGTCATAGTCACTGCAGCTATGGCTGCCTCGACCTTCACGTCACTGCCCAGTTTTTCCATGTTTGTAACTATGATGTTCAGCAGACTGCCTGCCCTTGTTGGGTCCTCAGTAACCTCTTTCAGGAAGTTATAATCAGTGCACTCCAAAAACCTTCTGGATTGCTTGTTCCCTGTTGTGTTGCCCTTCCAGGAGATAACAGGGTAGTTCATGTTCTATGTGAGGACCAGGTGCCTGTAAATGTGAGGCTTCTTCAGTTATACGAACAAGATCTCATATATTTCGTCTTGATCAGGTCATGAGTAGCAGACACCTGCCACGTCACCTATGTTGGTCTGCCCTCTCATCTGTGACCCATAAGCTCTCAGCTGTTTCATTGTCCATTGCAGGGTACAGCTCCATGCATCCCTGCTGCTCTCCCAAATAAAGGGCAGCTTTCCTTCCTCACCATCCCAGACTGTCCTTAAAGAGCCCATATCCAGCCATGGCAGTAGTCTGGTCATGTGAGCTATGCTGCTGTGTCTCAATGATCCCGTTGAGATCATAGCCCTGCAACTGCACCCAGACCACTAATTCCTCCTGCTTGGTCGCCATGCTGCATGTGTGTTGGTGTATGGGCACTTCACAGAGGCACCCAGTCATGCTGATTTGCTAGAAAAGGTATTACAGCTTCCCCCATCATGCTGTCCTGCAGGCAGCGCTTTATATATGTGCTTACATTTGAGGTGGGGCCCTGGTTAGCTCTGGTTTTTTTGTTTACAAGATCTCTCTTGCCTACATCACTCTGTACCCTTTGCTTGCCCAGCTGGTCTGCCACTTCCTCACTTGGCTGTGGGTTGTCATCTGCCGCCCCTGATGTTGCTGGTATCCTTCTCATGGAGCTGCCCCAACCCTCTACCTGCCAGGAGAAGCCTTTTAGTGCAACTGCTGCTGTATTGTACCTCCTAGGTGTTCACAGCTACTACTGCTGTTTTCTCCAGCAATTAAATCTAACCCTGTGTGGCTTATAATTCCTTAGCCCTTCCTTATTCCCCTTTCATCCTCAGAAAGCACTGTTCTTGTATGCTTTGCGCAGACTTGCGTATCTTTCTGGGGTTGTAAGAGGAGATTGCCTTAGCTTGTTCCCTATGGTTTCACCTGACCAGGTAATTTATTTAATGATAGTGCTAGTGAGGGGGGTCAGAAATCTATGGCTGCTTACGGTATTATTGTGTGTTAAAATGATTCAAGAAGTTGCTGGACAGTCTGTTAAATTTTATTCCTTTTGCTGTTCGTGTCTGTCATTTCCTCACAACCATGTTCCTACGCATTGAAAGATTTCGGTTGCTTTCTCTTTAAGTAAAGCCTTACTTAAGTATTTTTTCCCCTTGCTTTGGAGGGTTATAGTGAGCTCTCGCTATTATCATGTCTGGTTCTTCTCCCTTTAGGCTTCTTAAAATTCTCTGGATATATTCCACTACAGTCTGGATTTTAGAACAAAATATTTGTATCTGTGTTATACAAGGTAATTCTTCCCTTCCTCTCTTTTCCTTGCTTGTCATCCATCAACAAGCCCGTACTTGGGTATCAGTACTTCATAACTAATTTTAAACTGGCAAAGCAAAACTTGATGGGATATCTCACATTGTCGCGAATGAGTGGTTTAGAGGCTGCTTAAAAAATCACCATCAAAGGTATTAGCAGAAAGTGATTTTAATAGAAATTTGTCAAAGCACGACTTCACAGAGTTCAATGGCAAGGTTCACTCTATCACTTACTATATGGATGAAGCATACAAAGGAAAATCATATTAGAATTGAACTAGAATGATTTCTACAGAGGCCAAGGACGAAAAGGGTAAGGGAGACTCTCCCGTTGAATCATGAGATTCAGAGAAGACCCCCTTGCTCTCTAAACTCCTTCTCAGAGAGGAGTCTAGGTGCGGCTGGATCCACTCCTAGTCCCACACTTGGTCAGCCGTTTATACCTAATACAAAAAGAGTAAGGGAGACCGTCCTGTTGAGTCACGAGGTTCAGAGAAGACCCCCTTTCTAAACTCCAGAGGAGTCTAGGTGTGGCTGGATCCACTCTTAGTCTCAGATTTGGTCAACAGTTTATGTCTAAGGGATTATATGTGTTCAGCAGCAGTCTAAGGTTCACTCACAGTTTAAGACAGATCATAAGATTTTTGCAGACTATATTTGCTAGCGGGTACCTCCATCAATTCACACACACATGCCCGCAGGCAGAAAGATAGGTAAATATATAAAGGTATACCTGTTAAAAATTCCCCTCGAGTTCGATGAAATATTCATGTCAAACGTCTTGGCATTTCTCACTGGATGAAGGGTTGAGCCTCAGAGTGTTGTTTCGCCCAAGGAGTGTTGTTTCGGCCGAGGTCCCGTGGCAGTTGGTGACGGTCCTCCGAATATCGTAAACTTGAGAGTATGCGAGCTCTGAGAGGCGTCCCACTCAGAGAGAGGTGCTGGGTGCAGCCCATTGCGGTCCAGGAGAGCTCAAAGGGTCTCACTTAGGACCACCGTTCATAGGTTTGCAAGATGATTGGCTTTAGTAATCTGTAAATTTCCATCCTGGCCACAGTCCAAGGTGGCAGTTACTAAAATTCTCAAGGTTTCAGTGTTGTTCCAGTTGAGCTATGAGTCAGATAAGGGTATCAGGGGATGACATCTGGGCCAGGCAGTAGGAGTACGTTCCCAACCTCAGCTATGCAGAGTTTCTGATATGGTCAAGGGGCGCTTAACTGCCAGACTCATTATACCAAGGCCATGGTTTTATGGGAATTTCTAAGATCAACAAGCGGCCCAGGAGAGGGGAGGGGGGAATGCACCACCACACACATGGCTGAACATTTCACCAAGTAAGTGTTAATTTTTTCCTCAGATGAGTATTTAATTTTGTCATTGTCTGAAATCCATGGTCACAATTTGGATAAGCTAACGTGTGTTGTTGAATAGTTTACCTATAGCTAGGGTATCCCCTACAGCATGCTCTTTTAAATTTTAATAGTTTCGTATCTGAATGATATGTTGCTCTTTGTTTCAGAATAAGCCATCCCAAAGGACAGTGTTTTTTAAGTGTTTTCTCAAAAATTAAGAGAAATCAGAAATGAACTTCAAAAGCCACTCTGCATCTCTTGTGTTCAAGTCTTAGTATTGATGATCTTGCTCTGTCTGAGATTGTGCAGGATGTTGGGCAGAGGAGTCCATCTTAGGCTACATACTGAGGCAGCAGGCTCATTGTCTTACAGTTGCCATGGTGGGGGAAGATTAAAAGGTTTTCTATCAGCCTTTATTTCAGTGACCTTTTCCAAGTTAGGAATAGCAGTTGACTAGGAAAAACCTAAACAGTCCTTTCTCTTCAGAGAGTCCATACAGATTTCTCTCGAGTTCTGTAAGCTGAAAAATAAATTGAAATTGAGAAGTTAATATGTTCTGTTTTCAAAATGCCATTTCTGCAAATCTTTGACTTACTGAGCTTCCCACGCAATACATACTTGGAATTTATTAAACTGCTGTATATGAAGACTCCCATGCTTAATCCTTCTAGCAGCTTGCATAAGTGCGGTGGAATAAAAGTTCAAAGTAATGTCAGCATGTGAAATGTTAACAAGTAAAAGCATCATAAGATTCTTTAAATATTCACAGGGACTTAATTTTCATCATCTGCTTAATGCAGTGACTACATAGTTTTCACAAACTCTGTTTGCTTATTCTTTCAGACTGAAGGTCTTGGAACGGATGTTGGAAGATGTTAGCTGTGGATACTGGGGTTGTGGAGGAGTGGTTATCAGAGTTCAAGGTAATATATTCTCGGATATTTAGCCAGAAGTGTTTGAATTGCTGCTGGAGCAGTATGCAAGAGTGCTTGATTGCTGTAGAAAATGAAGAAAAATAGTAACCTTGGATTTTGCTGAGATAATGTGATATATACAAATGTCTGCTTGAAAGGATTTTTTTCCTTGTCCTCTTTGGGATTACATACTTCCTGATACAGAGCAGTGAAAATGTATATCACAGGTGAATGGTCTTGTTGGTTTGAGTACGGACTAGACTTGACTATAGGTTTTGCTCCTGGTCTGCTTAGATACACTGGGAATGTGTTTTCCTATCTGTATAGTGGAGTGTGATCTCCTTTGAAGGACTGCAGATAAGTAGTACTGTAAGAGCTATGAATAGTAAGTTTAAATGTACAGCTTCCAAAGAGTTGTTAAAAAGATTACCCCTTTAAGTACTGGCAGAAAATCTGTTTAGTGTTAGAGAAGAGCTGTTCATGTCAACTGGAATTTGTGTTCTTTCAGAGTAATACTATATCCTGTAATAATATTCACTAGCTGTGCACAGTCAGCCTTAAGAAAACTATTTAAAGTATGGATCTGCAAACTGCTAAGTTTCACTGTGAAATTTCAGTGGGGCTGCACCTGTGAAACTCTTGGTTTTTATCTCTTTCCCATCCACTGTCATTACATTCTATATGAAATTGTCTGCAAAATGATAAAATGCAGTGTGTCTTCTGGCAATTTTGTTGTCCTGAAAACATGGTGATTTCCATAGTAAGGATTTCTTTCTGAAACAAGTTTTAGTTTACTATAAACTCTGATAAATAGTAGCTTGTAATGGAAAATTGTTGTTGAAATAGCTGTTATATTTTAATGATAAAAATTGCTCTTTCTAGTAGTTATAATATTTTTATTTCAGACACTGACAGAAGCATCCATATCCAGCTATGCTACAAACTTGAAAGACAAGAGTGCTTTGATTTCATCTCTTTACAAAGTAATTCAAGAGCCACAGAGTGAAGTGAGTATATCAGATTTCTCACACAAAATGTCTGACATAACACCAGCAGAGTAAAATAAGAGCTTGTGTGCTAGTTAATTGTTTCTAACTGTGTGAACTGCAGAACTACATGAAGAGTCTCCGTCAAAATGTTTGTTCTTAGCAATGTCATACTACCATGGAAACAATTCATAAGTTTTGTAACCTACTGATCATAGCTAAGTTTGTAGATCATACTGATGGGCTTCAGGACTTGGGTATAGAATTGAGAAACATGTTAAGGAATTGAAAAGATGTTTGAGACTGACAGAATTCTTTCTGTAATTCAGTATCACTTGAATGTGAATCTATAGCTATCAGAAGCTTGTCTATTACAACCCAAGAGAACAATGTTAGGTAGGTTTGCAATCCTTTTAAGTTATTTCTTAGGTTTTAGGTTTTTTGTTGTTGTTTTAAATACATACAATATAAATACATGCATTTATACAGTGGATGTACCCTTGCTGAAATGATGGCAAAAAAAGAAAAAAATTGCAGGGAAGGGGGCAGGTTTGCTCTTTACCTGTGCCAGGAATGGTTCCATACCCCATGACTGCACTTGTTCTAAAGTGTCCAGGTAAGTTCAAAACATACTGAGCTGGTTTTAGTTGTGTCTTATTAACTGTATTGTCTCAATTTCCACCATCCAGCAAACCTTGTGTGTATTATTTTAAAATTGCACCAAGTCCTTAATTCCTCTTCTGAAAAGACCCAGCATAAGGAACCTTTCCAAAGTCTGAGATGATGCCAATAGTGGTCAGAGGATAAAATGCTTTCAGTACATACATTTTTAGAGAGAATGCTGATAGAGAAACTCCCAGGTTGTCCAGTAAAGAAGAAATGTAATTTTACTTTGCTGCTCAGCATTCTGAGTCATTGCAACTACTGAGTCAAGCCTGTCTGGTCTTCAGAATGCGTATCTACATGTAAATTAATCTGATGAGTCTCACTGTTGATAGCCAGAATGATACTTCCATATGTTCTTTGATTTCTTACTACTTCTGCCTATCACTAGATTTCTCAGGAACCTTAGTAGCAGGGTGGTCAAGACCCTGCGAATTCTGCTCAAAAAGGTTGTTGGCATAATTCTTGGGGCAAGGTATTGAAGGTTTCCCTGTTAGTGAGACTTTGAGTTGAAGTGAAAAGCCAGTGCTGACACTGAGTGTTGTGCTGCCTTGGGAGAACAGTCCTAAAATCTTTGTTTGGACCGTTCTCTGAGTACCTGTCACTTTGTGGAAAGGGCTACTTGGAGCTTTCCACATTGTGTTGTGGAAAGGGCTACTTGGAGCTTTCCACATTGTGAAAATACTTATAAACTAGCAGTTAAAAAGACAAGTAATTTCTTTTTGAGATCTGTGTAATGACAACTTGCTTTACAGTGTAGGATATGTGCTGTCCTTTCTATCTCATGTATGTAATCCAAAGGGGAAGGATTAATGCGTGAACACTACAAATACTGCTGAGATTAAAAATAGACAAACAACCCCATCTGTATACCTTTGAATATATGTACTTCTAATATAATAATTATCTGTACTTTAAAATTGTGATTAATCTCATTTTGGGGGATGGATGTGTTCTTTTTTTAAGCATTTGAAAAGTAATCATGTGTATTTGCATCTGTGACTGCATTTTCCTGCTGGTTCGTGTTTGCTTTTCATACAGGTTTTTTTTGTTTGCTTTTCCAAAAAGTTAATAATCAATTTGTGAAATAAATGAACTACTTGTTTGCTATAGCAAAGAAATATCCAATTCATAGTAGCTTTGTAAGTAAAGACTAGTAAAGTTAGTTACTTTTGAGGTTCCTGGGCCACTGATTGATAGATGAAAAATGTAATGCAATACAAGGAGAGTCTTCAGTAGATGTGAAGATTTAAGGGACTTTCAATTGACTCAAGGGTCCAATGGTAAAAAAAAAAAGAAAATTCTGAAGTTTGTTTCTTCACAAATTCAAGATTTTTTGCTTTCTACCTAAAATGCTGTAGCCGTCCTTACAGATAGTAGCCATGCAGGTATTTGCATTAGGAAATAGAAAGTGTTTGGAGCATCTAACACATTTGGATGCAGCTTAAAAGGAAGAGGGATGAAATTGCTTGGACATTCTTCTGTTCCAGCATTAAAAATTCTTTCAGTCTAGATACCTTTTTGAAATGTTTTAGTGTAAAACAATATCTTGAAACAGCAACAATCATTAGTGCATTTTGATATTAGGTTGTAGCATGTGGTGGCATTTTGAGGAAGAAAATCTGTTTTTGTACTGATTATGCATTTAAATGTGCTGATATAAAGCTGTCTCAACTGAGATAACGACATGAACATGAATACCTGTCATAGCTATTTACGTGCCTTTTAAAGTTCAAGCACATCATTCTGAACTGATGCTTCATTAAAGGAAGCATGCAAATTGCGTGAAATATGTAAGCTGAAGATGGAAAGCACTTGTGCTGGTGAAGTTTTCTAGAAGGATCTTTGATATTCTGCTCTTAAAACTGGTGACTAGTTTAGATTGGCATGATTTTTTTGCCTTTGCTGTAGATTTTTCCAAAGAGAAGCTATATCTGTCAGAAGCTAAAAGTTGTCTTTTTTGAATGGATCAGATTGTCCCAAATTACTTCTTAAAAGGAAGTAAAACCTGCTGAGATCCTTTGGATTCAGAAGTAACTTTGGGAAATAAGCAATGTTGACTCAACTTTCTTTGTAGTCAGGAGGAAAAACTTAGGAAAGTAAGCAGGTTTTTTTTCTAGCATGCTCTTCTGCTAGCCTGAACATTCCTGGTTTTGAAATGAATTTAGAGTCTATTTCTGTGAGTCATGTAGATGAACTGTTAAGACGTTAAATCTTGGAGGCAAGAAACAAGGTAGCAAAACTAGTCCTTTAGGTATATTACATTTGAATCCTGTCTTTCAGAGATTTGCAATTGGAGAATGTCACATTTTATGTAATGCTTTTTTTATATAGTAGCTGGAGCTGGTAAAATGAATTCTAAATAGCTGGAATCTCAGATTTCATTTTGTAAAGTTCGCCAATATAAATGCATCAACTGCCTAGATTCTTTCTCAGGGAGTAGTTTCTTAGATGATAGGGAGGTCCTATTTGTTACTACTTGCAAATAAATGATTTAGAAGATTTAATTTAAAATCCCCTTTTTCCCTTCCCTACCCCACTCTTTTTTTTTTTTTTTTAGAAGAAATCCTTTTACAGTTCCAAACTCTTATTGATGGTTTGCTGTGTTTGCTGCCAAAAAGTATTTTTGAGTATGTGCTTTTGAGTTTTTGCTTGACAGTTCAGTGTCCAGTTCAACTGGCTTTGATAGTGCCTACTGGTTTTGACAGTATTTTCCACTTGGGTTAGGAAATCTCCTGTCTAGGTGACAAAATAAAAATATAACTTCCATACATCGACACATGATGGTTAGCACTATGTTTCGTTCTCTAGCGGAGGTAGGTGGTAGCGCAAGAATGCGCATTAAATCCAGAAACACAGTACAAGCTGATTGCTTAGTTGGTTTTAAGTCTTTTTTTTATCTTGTTCTAGCTCAGTGTATTACTTCCAGTTCAATACATTACTTCCATTTATATCAGCTTAACAAATTTGATTGTAAGACTACTCTTGAGGCTTCCCATTTCTGTCTGAAACCTATAAATACATTGAAGTTTCTAGAAGATTTTAATGAGTGGAAAAGTGAACTAATTCTACTGTGTACTAAGTTATTGTAACACTTTGAATTTGAGTGTTAATGCAGCTCTTCTCACTTGGTGGGTAAAAGCTTCTGGCAATTTTCGTGTACACTGTTGGAGCTCTAGAACACCAAAGACCTTTTCCAGGTACTTTTCCTTATATTAGAGATACAGAGGGCATGGTATGAGGTGTGATGATAACAAGTGTCCTCTATTTATGCCTTTGAGGCTGGAGGAAGTGAAGCCAAAAATGAGAGAAAGGAGCCATTGGAATGCTTTCTTCACATGGGAGGGAGGGCTGTACTTTTATCATCTGAAAGTATGTTATAAGGGATGAAAAGTGTATAAAGTGACTTGGGTAGTTATTGCATCAGTCACTCTCTAATAGTTAAAATGTAACATTTATCAGTTTACAGTTTTGTCCAGAGGATTGATCCACACAAAGTTGCAGTTTCTTGTAATGTTTTATTCATTCACAATTGTAATTTATATTTCAGCTTCTGGAGCCAGTTTGCCATCAGCTCTTTGAGTTCTATCGCAGTGGTGAGGAACAATTGCTACGATTTACTCTGCAGTTTCTACCGGAATTGATGTGGTGCTATCTTGCTGTCTCAGCCAGCAGAGATTTGCAGAGCAGTGGATGCATTGAGGCTCTTCTCCTAGGAGTTTATAACTTGGTTTGTATTTGCATGTCATTATTCAGGCCCAAAATATCAGTGTGCTTTTGCGGGATACTATAGAGTATTTTACTGGGAAATAATTAACTATTTTGTTTCTGAATTGAAATGAAGTGATTGAGTATCTCAGTTTTGACTCTTCAGATTGGTGTCCATGTCAGAAATCTGCAACATGAACTTTTAATCTTTTATTTTGGTGAATATTTTCTCTGCTCTTTTTGTGGTTCCTGGAAAGTGTTAATGCACTAATGGCTGAAGGAGACAAAGGAGTTGTCTTAATTTTTTTGTTACTTAATTCTTGGTATGGTGATTAAACTTACATTTTGCTTGAGAGCTTTTAGAGGTGCTACTTTTGAAATGGTTGCCCATATTTTCTGGGGCATTTTGACTATCTTGACTAGAAAACACAAAAAATCACTTTCAACAAATTCTTAGTACTTGACTGCTGAACAGTCAAGATTGCTTAGCTTTGAGAAATTAAAGGTCTCATTTCATTTTGTAATAACCTTGACATTTTTTTCATATATGAAAAGGTACTTTTTGTACTAAATTACTACTTTGAAGTACTGAATTATGAAGGAACCTTTAAGAGCACCATATTTTAGTTATGCATTTAGTCTTTTTATGGCTATTATAAAAAGCTTAGTATTATTATGTCCATTGGGGTTCTCTTCAGTGTAGTTTGTATGTTCTGGATGTTTTAGGAAGGCTTTTTGGGAAGTGAAACAGTGATGAACTTCAAGTCTTCTGTTTGCATGCTGAAAATCTGAAGAAGGCAGCTCCCATCCTTCTTCTAAAAATAATCTCAAGTGTCTTTACCAAGCAAGTGAAAACAGGAGTCTACTTAAAAAAGACCTGAGCCCTTGTATTCAACTCTTCTTTAGGCAGAGTACAGGCTTCATGTGTTTTCTGTGTGCTTAGTTGTATCTGAGAAGAAAAACATTCTGGAAAGCATTTGGTATATCTTGCGCCTTAAGTCAATTCACTCCTTTATTTCCATGATGAAGTCATCTAAAATGGCTGATGGATGTGGCTATAATCACTTGTCTTTCTCTTAGAAGAGATTACATTTACAGTTAAGCTTGAAACCAGTCCAGTAATGTCTTCATTTAGCTATGAACAGTTTCTTCCTCAATTAGTAACATAGCCATCCATCTCCAGCTGCTTGGGGTCATAAGAATTTTAGAGCAAGCTTCTGTAGGAAGCTGTAGATCAACCTCATTTTTGGAAACATTTGGGGTTTTTTTTACCCGCTTCTGCTTTAAGAGATAATGAATGCTTATGGTAAAGTAATGCCATGTTGTTGATGCTGACTTCTTTCCCTCTGATGTCGTATAAAATTTGTAACTTAAACAATCAAGATGGTGCTGTTCTTCAGCATACAATGTTGCAAAGGTAATAGGTGACCTGCTTAGGTACTTATTTTCTCTTTAACCAGCTACTTTGTTTTCAAAAGCAAGAGGAAAGATGTAGCCTAATACAAATAGTAATCCTTCTGTAAATATGTACGATGGTCTCTTGGAACTTGAGGGAATTAACATGCTCAACAGAGTCCTGCAGTTTCTTACTGATGGAAATTGAAAACTTAAATACTGCTCAGAATAATTTTAAATTCACTATGTTGTCAGGGGTATGGAGTTACTGTGGCTGAACCTTGAGATCATGAACTGGTTTGTTCTACTTTCAGCTTGGAGACATACAGTAATAGTGCATGCGGTTGATGTTTTTGGCTTTCCTGGCTGTAGGTATCAGTTTTTTCTAGTACGCTTCAGATCTTGAAATGCACTCCTGAACCTTAATTACAAATCTAATTAGAACGAAGAGTCAAAGTATTTATATTTTTAGATTTTAAAAGTTTGGATGTAGCCAGTTTCTCTTCCCTTCTCCTCCCATATATTGAGGAAACTGTTTTCCACATTGATGCAGAAGCAATATTGAAAATTAAAGTATCAGTGGTTTGTGTGGAGAGTGGAGAAGCTGTATAACTCTTCAGACAGAACAGCTCTGAATGCCTTTTTGATACTTCTCAGTCTTCCTTTACCATTTCATATTCTACTTCAAGACATGAGTTTTAATAATTACTATGTGAAGTTAGTCCTTCAGCCTTCCAAGGCATAGGTTTCAGGAGACACTGAGGCTCTTCTCTAATCTCTACCTTTGGATATATGAAATCTGCTGCTGAAATTTAGGGGTGGGGAGGAAGTTCTTGTGTGTGTGATGTTGGTTATTGGAATTTCTGAAGATTTTTATTTGAAGTACTTCAGTGCTCTTCTGTGATACGCAGGCACATCTTTTTTTGCCTTACCCATTAATCTTCCCATATCTTACAGGAGTGAGAAGTCTGCCAACATACTGCTATGGTGGTATCTTGCAGGAAAGTAGCTTCTCTAAAGCTTTGCGTCCATGCTTCTTTTAAGTCTCTCTATAAGTGTGGAATTATCAGACTTGGGCTTTTGCAAATACCATGATGTCTGCTACTATCAAACCATGTGAGGCTGCAGTCATTCCAGAGCTATAATATTTCCAAAACAAATTACTTGTAGAGTCATTACTTGATGGATAAATAGTTTTCAGAACAGAATTATTGAGCATTAACCTTTACAATTAGCAAATAGTGTATAATTAAAAAAAGATAACACTGTTTAAACATATTGAGATTTCCAGTTAGTGTTTTTAAGGTGGACTCTGTATGCAAATGCATGTGCCTTTTGCGAAGTCATTTGAATAGTTTTCAGAAACAAAGCAAATGAACTGCGATAGAAAGCAAATACAGAGATAATTTCTAGTTTGTAGCTCGTATTGTTACAGTATCCCTCTCTGTCCCTATAATAATTTGTTGGCTTTCTTTATCCATTCACCCCCACCCAGCATTTAACATTTTTGAATGTCTGGTTTCTGTAGTACAGGGTAACCATTGGTATCTTCTGTCTTTTTCAGGAGATAGTTGATAAAGAGGGACATAGCAGAGTGCTGAGTTTCACAATTCCGTCTTTGTCCAAACCTTCAGTCTATCATGAAGTAAGTGACATCTACAACATGAAGTTGTTACTGATTGAGAAAGGCAGTATGCTTTGGGGACCTGTTTGTTAAGAATGAAAGTGAAAAGTAGTCTTAACGTGTTGCATGATGACATAGGAACATATTTCTCAGTCTTTTGAGTACTACTAACTGGTCTCTGAGGCCTTTTCAAGACTGAATAGTCATAACTCATAATATCCATGCACCAACTATGTCTTTTTTTTTCTCTTCTGAAGCCATATACCTTATCTGGTGTAAAATAACTTCTCAAATCTAAGACAGCTAAGCAGTCAGAGAACCTTAAGCCTGTTAAAAATTTGTGTACAAATATGGTGGTGCTGATCATTGTCTATTTTCACTTGCATTGTAGCAAGACTTCGGGTGGACATGTTTTGAATGACCCTTTTTCCTTTAGCCTTCCAGCATTGGCTCCATGGCTCTCACTGAAGGAGCTTTATCACAGCATGGTTTGTCCAGAGTTGTATACAGTGGACCTCATCCTCAGAGGGAAATGTTAACAGCACAAAACAGGTGAAATTGTATAATAGGATTTTGCTACAGAATCACTAATGAATCTTAACTTCTTATAATTTTTAATATAGTTATAGACTGAAGGTGGATAGGTGTATGCTGTGTTTTGTGGTGGGTTTTTTTTTTTTTGTTTTTAAACAGGTGTAAATGTAGATGCAGAAACACTAGCAGTGCATATTACTACACGAAGAGGAAAAGCTTACAGAACCAAACTATTCAGTTGTCAATTTTATTGAAACGAAATACCAAATCTGTTCAAATAACTCTTGCAAATTTCTGTGTAAACTTGTTTTCTTTTCAAAAATAAAATTGGTAATGTAATTCTAATGTTTCTTGTAAATCCCAGGTTTGAAGTGCTGACTTTCCTTCTGCTCTGTTACAATGCTGCCTTAAGCTACATGCCTGCAGTTTCTCTTCAGTCGTTGTGTCAAATTTGTTCAAGGTAATTTCTGTAGGTTGATTACAGTTAAAATGGCATTTTCAACTTGAAATACAATCAGTTTGAACTTTTGTTTTTTTAAAAAAGAAGCTCCAGGTTCCCAAAAGCTGCTTGTAAACTTGACTTTTTTTTCATAGGTGTTTACAGCTGCATTATTTGCTTTTAAAGTATCTCTTATGTAACTTTGGGTTGAGATCTCAAAATAGGGAAGCAATGATCTGTCTTATATGCAGTGCTGTTGAGTGGAGAAGTCAAATCAAGGGAACTGTTTGTTTTTAATCAAAGTAGTTGTAGGTGTGTTAACTAAATAAAGTCAGAAATGTCTTCTAAAATATTGGTAAATTTTGCATTGCAAGCTTACTAAATATATTTGGATGCTATGCAAGTTGAAACTTTCTTGAAGTTATAGTAGATCTTGAAACTAGAAATACATCCATTCTTACAGATACTTTGGGTATTTCCAAAATCTGCTGTTACTTCAAAAAATAAAACAAAACAAAACAACCTACCTCAGCTTTAATTACAGTGTCCATTTTTGATCCATTTCTTTTTTCAAAGAGGAAGAACTGGTAGTAAACATGTCTATCTCTAAATTTTTGAAAGTGGACTTTGGGTTAAGGAAAATATTAGAATGCTGTCGTTAACCCAGGAAACCCAAGAGACACCTAGAAGTCAACTACAGCAACTTTTTACCAGTCATAATTCCCAGGTTCCTCACACAAACAAAACATGGTAATGGATGTCTGTAAGATTCTCTACTCTTCAGAGGAGGTGAGAGAGCATTGAAGCACTTGGCAATATTTACAAGAGTCTTTACAAGATCTTTGTTAGGTATGCTGGTCTAAAATTTAAGATAGAAAATATTTAGAAGCTAAGGATTGTGGACAGGACACTGATGTTGCTTATTCTGTTGGTTAGGTTTTGTTTGTATTTGGGATAAATAATTTTTAAAGAGCCTCCAAAAAAACCTGAGCAAATTACCTGTAGATGCAAACAAGTCTTTCTACTTCAAAATGTTGAATGTTTGGATACTGAATTATTTGATACTATACAATTCGATTTTTATCTTAGTTCTTCATTCCCTACTGGTTTCGGCATCCATGTTTCTCTGCTTACTGAAAATATTGCCTGGACAGCATTTTAGGGGTTCAAGGTAATATGTGTCAGAAGACCAGAATATCTTTCAGTATTCTGTTTGGATGTGGTGCTGACAAAATTCTCAGAAGAATCTGTTCCTTTAATTGGTTTGAGCAGTGTTGAATTTGGGTTTGTTTTGGAAGATCTGTATGAAAGCAATCTACGATGAATGTGCTTTCTTCTAGTAGGTCTAATTCAATTTTTATGACTTTTCTAAAGAAGCAAAAGCTTCTATAACTTCTTATTTACAAACTTGAACTGTAAATGTGACAACTGCAGCACAAAGTATTTTATGCTGATCTCAAGCGTTGTAAATCCAGATTTTTTGCATTTGGACATCTTCACTTACTAAGTCTCTTTTCATAAGAATATTATATTACTCTGATGTAAAGCGAAGTGGTTCTATTGATGTCATTCTAGCCTTTTTAGAGGAAGTAACTCAGACTAGAGTAGGGCTTTGTAAAACTAACCAATACTGGCATTAATAGAGTGTCTGTATTAAGTTCTCTTCTATATAACTGTCAGTGTTAACTGCACCTGTGTTGGGGCAATCCCCGATATCAGTACAGGCTGAGGGATGAATGGATTGAGAGCAGCCCTGCGAAGAAGGGCTTGGGAATATGGTGCAACATACACTTGCAGCCCAGAAAGCCAATCACATCCTAGACTGTGTAAAAAGAAGTGTGGCCAGCAGGTCGAGGGAGGTGATTCTCCCCCTCTCCTCAGCTCTCGTGAGACCCCACCTGGAGTACTGCATCCAGTTCTAGGGTACCTGGTAAAAGAAAGACATGGACCTGTTTTGTGGACCTCCGGGTCCAGCGGAGGGCCACAAAAACGATCGGAAGGCCGGAACACTGCTCCTATGAAGAAAGGCTGAGAGAGTTGGGGTTGTTGTTGCCTGGAGAAGAGAAGACTGAGCAAGACTTATTGCAGCCCTTCAATATGTGTAAGGGAGGCTTATAAGGAAGATGAGAGAGGCTTTTTACCAAGACCTGTAGTGACAGGACAAGGGGCAACAGTTTTAAACTGAAAGAGAGTTGATTTAGATTGGACATAAGGAAGAAATTTTTTACGATGAGAGTGGTGAGGCACTGGAACAGGTTGCCCATAGAAGTTGTGGATGCCCCATCATTGGAAGTGTTAAAGGTCAGGTTGGACAGGGCTTTGAACAACCTGATCTAGTGGAAGATGTCCCTGCCCATGGTAGGGGGGTGGAAATTGATGATCTTTAAAGGTCCCTTCTGACCTAAAGCATTCTATGATTCTTCCTTCATAAACATCTCATGATCTTCTCGTTTCCTTGCATGTTGTCACTAGTGTGGCTTTCTGTCTTTCCTGATGAAGTGTTTAAAATCTTTTTTTGTTGTTTTTGTTTGGAGATATGGTGATATCAGCGTGAAGAGTCAAATTTAGATCATACTAGGTGAAAAGTACATACTGGGAGAGTTGCTGAGCCATAGAGATCTTGGAGGCGCTGTCTACTTTTTTTTTTTTTAAGGAGCCAAAGCAGAGGATGAGTTGCGGGACAGAGAAGGAGAGGAAAAAAGTGCAGTAGGTTAGTGGCAAAGTTAGTATTAATAAAAAAAGGCTCCTGAAATTTCTATTACAGATGTAATTTGAAAGGTACTACAATACAATCTTAACTCAATTGTTTTTCTGGAAAAAAATAGATTTAAGAGGAGTTTTACAAGCTCTCTGGTATTGAAGCTGAAAAATTGAAGCTTTCTGAGATTAAACCTTCTACTCTATGCTTTGGAGAAGGAAATACTTTGATTAATGTCATTAAAGGTCATTCCAGAAGTCCAGTAATAGCCAGTTAATTGAATATTTAACTACCCAATATCTTTGATTTCCAAAATGTTTTGACTACAGAATCTGGTGTGGAATTTAGTTCAGAACTAAAGTCTAAAGCTGACTTTTACTGGATTTTAGAATAGTTTTATGAATGTGACACTTCTGGTCTCTTTGCTTGAAAACTTATATGCAACTTCCATATTATATGCAATGACACTGATGCTTCTGTCTGTAGTATTAATAGTTGCTATGCTGCTTTATCTCCTTAAATACCATTAACTTATTTTTTGTCTGTTCTGCAGCAAATGCGTGGATTCAGAATGACTTTTACCGGCAGTTTTCTTTCACTTTCTATAGTATAAATGTAACAGGAGTGTCTAGGATGTCTCTCTTTTGAAAGATTTGAACTCTGCCAGTAGAGGGCATACCCTTCTTCCGTAATAAGAAATAGTCTGCTTCAGCACAGGGTTGTTGATGGATACCTTCCTGTGGGTCTATTGTAGTTAAAATGTATACTAAACACCTAGCTTTGTAGAGTTCTATACAAAGGTGGTTCTACATTATTTGCTAATGACTAATGCATGATTTCTTTAGAATTTGTGTCTGTGGATATCCTCGCCAACAAGTGAGAAAGTACAAGGGAGTCAACAGTAGGATTCCAGTTTCATCTGAATTCATGGTGCAAATGCTAACAGGGATTTATTATGCTTTGTAAGTTGTTTGGGTTTTTTTTATATGCATATAAAATACAGAAATGTCAGCTTCATTTCTACACTCATCTAGGCATGCTACCTTTGAAATGTTTTATTTTCTAGTGGACAGATGCTGTGTCTAGCAATAAGGTCCTCAGGAAGAGAACATAGTTCTCCAACTAGTTAGCTGAAGTTTCTGATGTATTGGGGAAAGAGGGCTAGAATAGCACTTAATAGGTATAACTGCTGATGTGAAAAAATCTTTTAAAAAACCCTTTTCCAACCATTGTCTGCTGTCCACATTTTTGCATGCTTAGTTTTGACATCAGTCTAGTTAAGGAAAAAAGGTCTTATCATTATTTCTCTGAAATGCTGATGTTGTTTACCCTTTGATAGTCATGCTAATGTGTAAAGCTCTTATTAACTGAAAATATTAGAGACTAGTAACACAGGAGTACTCAAAAGATGGAGTAATATTAAAACAATCCCGGTTTTGAATTTCAGAATATTTCATGACTAGCTGATCAATAACTAATTATGTAATTTTTAAACTGCTCAGGGTGGCCAGTGAAAGTAAAACTTTGTCTCCATAAACGATACTTGAGAACAAGTTCTCTAAATAGCAGGCTTACTGACAATGAACACAGTTAGTTCAATTCCTCTAAGCTGAGCTCTCAAGGAATACTAAATATGTGAAGGTTATGTGACCAAGAAGGGTAAACTGTTGATATAGATGCTTATTATTGTGTATACATTTACCTTTATAGTTATAATGGAGAATGGGATCTGGCTCGTAAAGCTATGGATGACATTTTGTATAGAGCACAGCTGGAACTGTATCCAGAACCTCTGCTGGTAAGTGTTGTATTTCAATGTTTTTTTGAGTACAACTTTAATCCAGGAAATCCTTCCTGTGAACGTGCCTGATGCGACATCATGCCAGGAACCTAAATCCCATGAGGGCGGTGTGGGTGCGCTCATGTGAATAGCTAGATCTGCAAGTATAGACACACACACACAGAGGTATTTTCAATGTACTTAGTTATTTTGTCATCTTCCCTAATGAACAAGCTATTTTCAGTAGAACGCTTCTAAGTCTTGAAAGCTTAGATCATAGTGCAGAAGCACTCTGAAGTTCATGTTAAGTAATAGCCACATCTTCAAACTGGAAACTTTGTTTTAAAAAGTGACAGATATTAAATGTGACTTAGTTCTGAGAGGTAATTGCAACCAGCATTCTTTATAACCTGTGCAAAAAGCTGGTGTGCTTTTTGACCTTAAACTGGAATTGTACACAGTATTCTTCTTGGAGTAATAAGAATCTCCTGACAGAATTCTTCTTCTAAAATTTGGATCTTCATGTTAAGAACTTTACTGCATCTTTTCTGTTCTAGGTTGCTAATGCAATAAAAGCTTCACTGCCTCAGGGTGCCATGAAATCTAGTAAAGAAGGTACAAGATGCATTCAGGTTGAAATTACACCTACTTCATCCAGAATATCAAGAAATGCTGTGACTAGCATGTCTATCCGAGGGCATAGATGGAAAAGGCATGGTAAGAAACACATTTTGCGATGAATTCTCAGCTTTTTACATGTGTTTAAAATAACGTTGAGAATTTTGTTATCGCACGTCTTCATTGCTAGTAAGCAAGCAGCAGTTTGGAGGTTTTTATTTTCTTTAGTGGTAAATGGGAATCTTAATGCAGTTCAGATGAAGTATATTCTTTATTTCCTTAATCATGTTTAAAAAAAAAAAAACCAACAACACAAAAAACCTTTTTTATTAAAGGGAGCTGTACAAAGTTACTGATTCTTTAGAGGCCGATGTTCCTGTTTTCTTCTGAAAAGTAAGGTGTAGTACCTGAAGCAAAGTAAATATTTAACAACTTCACTGCAGAACTTCATCTGTCTTAAATTACTTAAATGAAAATCGGATTTAATGGTAGAGGGATAAATTACTATGTTTTGGTGTCGTGGTTTAACCCTGCCCAGCAACTAAGCACCACACAGCTGCTTATTCACTCCCCCACGGTGGGATGGGGGAGAGAATCAGAAGGGTAAAAGTGAGAAAACTTGTGGGTTGAGATAAAGACATTTTAATAGGTAAAGCAAAAGCTGCACATGCAAGCAAAGCAAACCAAGGAATTCATCTACTGCTTCCCATCGGCAGGCAGATGTTTAGCATCTCCAGGAAAGCTACATCATGCGTAATGGTTACTTGGGAAGACAAAATGCCGTCACTCCGAACATCTCCCCCTTCTTCTTCCCCCAGTTTTATATGCTGAGCATGATGTCATATGGTATGGAATATCCCTTTGGTCAGTTGGGGTCAGCTGTCCCAGCTGTGTCCCCTCCCAGCTTCTTGCGCACCCCCAGCCTCCTCGCTGGTGGGGTGGTGTGAGAAGCAGAAAAGGCCTTGACTGTGTGTAAGCACTGCTCAGCAGTAACTAAAACATCCCTGTGTTATCAACACTGTTTACAGCACAAATCCAAAACGTAGCCCCGTGCTAGCTACTGTGAAGAAAATTAACTCTACCCCAGCCAAAACCAGCACGTTTAGGCAAACTAATATAAGGGCTTCCACAAAGTAGAACACAGGTCTGGGCTGAGAAGTAGAAAAAATGGTGCTGAATGTACTGCAAAAGGAGAAACATTTTATTCCACTTCTTCCGTCTTCAGATAAGGGAAGAGCCGCTGGACCAGAGATCAAAATTGGCAATGGCTTGTTCTGCTGGGCTTGTAATTCTGATGACAGGCTAAGCGAGTGAGTGTAGATAAGAATGCTCTTTTAATAGGTTCAATAAAGATTTTGAAGTGGTATCATAAAAATTTCTGTATGATGTGTACTGTATGAGCTTTTGTAGTATATGGACAGTTCGGTTAGGAAAATATTGTCAAGTTACCTGAATTACCTCTCAGTCCTTTATAAGTAAGTGTTGAGAAAATTATTTATAAATATGGTGGTAGAAGATGACTTTAAAATAATGATAGAGCTTTCTGAGCAGTAATGATACACACTGGTGGTAGTACTACCAATAGTAAGCTGCCAGAGGGGGTGAGGGGCAAAGAAAGGTAAAATAACCAAACAACTTTTCAGTTTATTAAAAACTGCTTAAAACTGTCAGACGAAGCTGAGGAGCAAAACAAGTCTTTAACTTGAGTGAGGTCCAGTAGCAAGTCATTACTGAAATCTCAAGACTGCTAAGGACCATTTTAGTCTTTATTATTTATTTTTCTTTCTTCAGGCTTACAGTTGTTAAGCAGGGATTATTGACCAGGTGCAAGAAAACTGTATGATAGGTCAGCTTTTTTTAAATGGACAAATGCCCTCTGAAGCTTGGCAATTTTGTCAGCTATTATTTTTGAGTGGTTCTGATACTTGTTCAAATGAGGTGGTGGAGGGGAACACAGATCGGGGATACTGAGTGCTAGTTCATTCAGAGGAATTGAAAGTGTATTAAAATAAACATTCCTTTTGTCTTTGCGTTTACAGAAAAAATGAAATAATGTAACAGAATCAGTATTGGAACCATCCTTATAGGAATGCAAATTTTTCAGCAGATGCAGAAATCTAGACGTTTTTACAATTATTGCCTTATTGCAGGGGGTGATGCTTGGTGAAGTTCAAGGAAAAATGGGTGGGACAAGTGTGCCCTGCAGCAGATAATAGTAAGGTGAAGGGAAATGGGAATAATCGTAGGACTCGTAGAAATGGGGAGGAATGGTGTGTTTTATGGGAGCATTGTAAAGCAGGACAAGTTGAGGGAAACAGTGATAATCTAGTTAGTATGACCCAAGTGAGGAGTAGTCAGTGTTTAGGGATGAGGACTGAAAGATTACGGACTTTTACAAAAAAGCTCTGTCAACATTTTGTTTGGGTTATTGGGAAAACTTTGGATTTGCCTTGATGGTACAGGATTTAATGAAGAGGAAGAAAATCACTTGGTATAGGGCAAGGGTGGAGGGGAACTTGTATAGCAGGTTGTGGGAGTAGTTGTAAATTTGAAGGCTATGTAAACGTTGCTAGTTTAAAGGCCAAAACTGAGTCTATGGTATCTTTGACTAACTGACCATCCAATTGTTTTGTTTTAAATGGTAAACGTTCCATGCATATACCACTTTGTAAAATACTAACAAAATTGTTGTTTGTGACTCTTTTAAAAGCCCTTTTAAAGTCAGAGTGGATGGTCTCCTGATTCCAAAATTTCTAATAACATAATTCAGTGCCCCACAATTCCAGATGAAAGGAAGATATGGAATAGATCTTCACGGTCAGCATGCAGAAAGAATAACGAGGCTTGTGCTTACAGATGCTTGTTTGAATTAAAATAAATACTGGAATTGGTAGAAATCAGATGACAAACCTTGTACCTCCTGACCATTATTCTTTTTCCCACAGTTTAAGGGGTAAAACTGTATTTGGGAGTTTTATTTTTGTGCTTCAGTATAATAAAAATGAGTTGTACAAATGGATTAGGAAGCTAGAGGAGACAGCTGAGAGATAGTTTGATCTTACACTTTATGTGGACGAGAAGACCTGATATGAAGCAAAGTATCCCTTGGGGAAGCAAGGGCAGCAATTTTCAATCACTAGCTCTTTGTGTAGAATAAATAAAAGAATTACAGTCAATCACATTTCCAGCTGAGAAGCACGGACTTTATTTTTTTTATCTTTTAAAAAATTCAGTTTACTATAAAAGTTTTTAGATCTTGCTAACCTTTGCTAGAACTATAGATTGAAGTCAGTTTTGAAAAAAGGTTGACTTAACATTTAATCTTGTTGTGATACTCAACCCTGTAACTCATTCGTTAGAGCTGTTACTCAGAAAATTTAAAATCAAATTGGTATTGTGAATTTGGACTTCTAAGGTAAGTACTTTAGAGGTACTAAAGGTGAAGGTCGTTTGCAAAATGGATCCATCTAATCACAAATGGATAGTATTTATAGAGTCAGTTGATACTAGCCACACCTTATCAACAAATTATTTAGTGCTATTGAATTGGATTGCCTATAAATCATAAAGCTTAAAAAAGAGGAGCGCTAGCTCTTCTATCTAGCATTAGTTTTTTGTAGTGTTCATGTTTTAAAAACGAGCCTTGGGTGACATCTCCATTTCTATTCACAAGCAGAGGAAAACCAGAAAAATCGTATAGCTTGTAAAGGAAATAAACACCTAAATGAATGGTTACTTATGGAAGCTAGGAAAAAACAAAGCAAGCCCTAGCAGTGCTTTCTTTACTCATGTAAAATCTGCCACACTGCCCCATAAAAGGGTTGCTCGGGAAAAACTCCTGTGTGTAGAGGTAATGCATGTAAGAGAAACACCCTGATGTAACAGACTGATGAGTATGAAGAGCTGAGCGGATGTTCGTAAGATATATAACACAAAAACAAAGACATCAACTAGAGAAGAAGGACAACGTTATTTTTTCCCCATTGCAGGAATTGATGTAGTACACAAGGCTTAGAAACATTAGTCTTTGAATCTCTGTGGAGAGAATTTTCTTACTTTTTTTGAAACAGTATTAATTCCTGAAATAGTTATAACTTTTTTTAGGAATCTGGAATGAATGTTAATTTTGGGATATAAGCTTGATGTTTTTGTGAATAATTCAAAATGCTAACGTTGTGCAGGAAATGCAGCTTGAGCTTGTGGTGGTTAAAATTGAATTACAATCCAAATGGGCAGTTTGCCAGTGCAATCTGAGGTAAATGATGTAGGCAACCGTAATAATAACAACCATAATAATAAGGTAGACTATGATTGAAATATCTTTTGAATTAATTCTTAGCAAGTAGGAATCATGAAACGCATTTATCAAGGTTGGTTGTACTACTCAAAGCATTCAGAAATGTGACTCCAAATGCATTTTACTTCAACCGCTATGGGCATATTTATATTAACTTTCAAACTGACATAATTATTCAGTTTTATCTCTACACTATGTAGCAGTGTCCTTTGTTTTCTCTTTTGCTACGTTGCCTTGTGCACTGTGTATTAATATCTCTTTCTCAAAGGGTAGACCCCCAGAGTTGTCCAGCTTGAAGCAGTATTATCTTCAAAACCAAGCACTACGAAGCTGAAGGTTTGTTTTAGGTGTTCTTAAAAGTTTTAAAAGAAGGAGGGGATGCTACTATGAAGGAGATGGATTGTGTAGTCTTATCCCTGCCATGAGACTGTAGATGCTATGGTAGATGGTGTTAATAGGAGTTGAGATATCCAGTATCCCATTTTTTCATTAATTTCCTTCTGTAGTTCAATGTTAAACTCAGAGAAAGGTATATTCCCTTTCATTAGAAGTAGTTAATAGCACTTAACTAAAAGATTAGGTACAATTGTGTTGAGTAAAACTCCTTAAGTGTTTTGGTTTTTTCTCCCAGTTCATTGTGATAATGGTTACACAGCTGTGGGAATGCAGCAATGATGGGTAAAGTCCTGATATCACAGTAGGATATTGCATTTAGAAATGCACACCACCAAACAACAATAAGTATCGCTATTATACAAAATCTGTAACAAAAAATTTCTTCCTCTGTTCCTCTGATTTCTGCTGTGCACTCTGAATCTCCTTTCTTTGGAGCTGGATGCTGTTTATTAGAGCTGTTCTGCCCTTGGTGAGGAAGGGACTGACAGTAAGCTCTGTTCTGCCCTCTCCTCTCTCTGGTGTCCTGGCTCTAAATGAAGTTTCTAGCAGAATCGACTTGTGCATGTGGAGATCAGTGGATCCTGGGAAGATTTCTGCTGAAATAAGATGCCTGTAGCTGCACTGACGGGGTAGCAGGAAGGCGTTTGAAGATTGCCATAGGAGAGGCACAGGTAGCCCACCCTAGTAAAATTAGACCAATGAGGCCAATCAGAGCATTGATCTTTTCTCCTCACTAACCTTTCTGCTCCTATGTTTTTAGAAAAAAGGCTATATTTGATGGTGGTATTATTATTACTATCATTATTGTTGTTATTATTTATTTATGATTATTACTATTGCTGTTCACGGTGCTCGGTTTTTACCTTTGTTACTGATGATAGAAGACTCTTGCAGAGTGCTGTTAGAACTGTTTCCAAGTGTTAGTCCTTCTAACTTGAGTTTCCTGCCAAATATCAGGAAGTTAGTGGCTAATTAGCAGCAATTATTAATGACATTTCCTTTGGATAGTACAATTTGTTAAACAGATACTTTCATTAGTAGTTGACTAGTTAGAAAGAATCACGATACTTAGCATTTGCAGGTAAAATCACGGATAGCTCTTACACCAGAGGACAATGGTGTCCATCCCTGCCAGAATAACCTTCTAGCTCTGAGGCTTATTTCATTGTCGTGATAAGTGCAGAGAGCACAAATGCTAGCGAAAAGCCCAGCGCTGTAACCTGCTTGACCTAGAAGTACACTGTGCCTGCACAAGAGTCCTTAGTGCGGGGACAGGGGGAAGAGAGGATCCCCTCCAGCTGCCTCTGTGGAAAAACCATCTCATCATAAATTCCTCTCTTTTTGGACTTCTTACTGTCAGTTAAATGTCTGTACTGCCAACTTTGGTCACGTGCGGTAGCAAACTGGCAGTATAGTCTGGGCGGTCCTTCCTTAATCCTCAGGTCTGAAAGAGCTGCGTTATGAATAAAACACAGGGATTCAGTTGAGCTTTATTCTGAGCTGTGCTTTTAGTGCATTTTTAGTCTTGTCAAGTTTGTGGCCGTAGTGTTTGCATATAGTATACATATATAACACATATAGAATATATAACTATATAGCATATAGTGTAGCTCTTGCTCTTCTTGTGTTTCCGTGGTATACATCTTCATGGAGGATGTGCCGTGACTATCTGTAACTGACGGCTTCTCCTTTTTTCTTCTCCAGGTCATCTAAATGCAGTTTTGTGATTGTAGAGCTAGTGCTGATAAAGCAATTCCGAATACTTTTTAAAAGATGTTGAGATACTGAGAATACTTCAAACACTGTGGAGCTGACAGGTTGCTAGGATTGTAACTTGTTACTTGCATATACTCGGAATTTCCATGAAGTTTCAACTCCCATTTTTATTTTCACTTTTTTTTCCTCTCAAGAGTTTGTTCTTCTCAAACCTCTCTTCATCTGATGTAGACAGGCATCTTTGGAGTTGGGATTTTTTTTTTTACCAGGACCTTGTAGGAACTATTGTGTTCTTACTGCATTGATATCATTAAGTATCATTATTAAATCTCTTGTGCTACTCACACTTTGAGTAGCAGTGAAGTTTTCTGTTTGCTTGGGGATTTTTGGCTATGTCTGCAGGAATTTTGGACTGTCTTGAAATAATTTTTTGGCCAGAGTGAGCACTTGTATATCTGCTGTTGATGACTTATCCAGATGAAAAGAAGTAATCTTAGAACTAAGCTGCATTGGTGTTTGTGTTAATTTCTTTTTTTTTTTTTTTTCCAGTGCTGCAGAATGTTTTGGTGCTTTCCCTCCCCCCAGCTTAATCATCCCTGTTTTCTCAACTGTACTTAGTAACTGACTTCTGTGATACAAATAAGTTTATTGCAAATAATTTAGTTGTAAGCTCATATAAGAAGCTTAAAAAGGCTGAGGGAGATCAACATTTATGTTTTATTATTAGTAGGTGGCAAAAACTGCAGTAAAATTCCGTAGGTTTTATCTGGCTAAGTTGATTTTAGTAACTGGAGAATTTTCCTACTTGTAAATATCTTTCTGGTTGAAAATAGTTTTTTGAAATGAAGAAAGAAAATGGAAGTCAAAGTGTGCTTGAGTTGGCTTAATTTTTCACTATTAGTTTTCAGGCTGACCACTGTGCAGGATCGTGACAGTATGTTAGAAATTCTAGTCTTACATGATAACACATGAAGTTGATATGCCATTTCATTGTAAAAATAAGTTTCACTTTAGTATGGTGATACAGAGAATATAGTCAATAAAAGTGAATTATGGACAGTTCTTTGATTTCTGATAATCTCTGAATGTTTGTTTCATGATCCTCAGAAATTTCAATTTTGAAAGATCAAGCATGGGGCTTTCCAGTATGTGGGTGCAGGCCAATAATTGGAAGATCAAAGCCTGCAATTTAGAAATAAAGCAAAATTCCATACTCGCTAATGTTGCTAATTAACAAGAGGTTAATATGTGAACATCTGCTTTAATTCATAGTGCTTTAGTCATCTGTATCTATTGGCTTTTGTTTCATGTTTTGTTTCAGACATCTTTTGTTTTTTTTCTTATTCATCTTTAATTCTAGAACAACCAGAGAATGGTAATGATGCTACTGAATTGGGCAACTTTATCATACCTGAGATTAGTGTCACAAGTGTGGCTGGAGAGAGGACCGGGAATGGGGAAAAGAGCAGAGCACTAGCAGAGAATGATGTTCAGCATTTACAGGGAGTACAGGAAACAGCTACAGATCCTAGAACTGACAGCAAAGGCATGCCAGAAATCAGGAGGCAAAAATCTGTAAGAAAAATGATGGAGGATGGAATAAACTCATCTGGCAGAGTGCAGTTTTAGCAGAGCACTTGTAGCTGCACTCTAAGGTACCACTGTTGATTGAAAGGGTCACTGCTGCATGTTTGGAGAATTAAAGTATGCAGTTAATACATTTGCATGTGTAATAACACAAATGCATGTATTGCACACAGCTTCGTCTGTGCCACAGACAATGACAACGTACTTACAAGTAGTTTTATTTAATCTGGAGAAAATACACTGTGAGACTCAACATACCTTTGAGTTTATTAAGCATATTTATTGGGTTTACAAAATCCAGTGATCAATGGTATGAAGAATCCATCAAAATGGATGTGAAAAGTATCTGCATACCTCAGATTTCCCAAATTCCACCTTTCACAGTATACTGGAGATCTCATGTTGTGCTTGAGTTTCCAACTCACACCACCAGACCTATGATGCAGAAGGTGACCTTTCAGTCGTAAAGCATTCTTGGGTTGCTAAACGTGCAGGTGCCAGCCGTATTGGGTGTCCTGGGGCATTGATCACATACCTTTATAATTAACGAGCTTTGCAAAATCATGTATTGGAGCACTTCCTCAAAATAAGATTTACACTTTTTTTGTTCTGTGTGGTATCTTCTAATCTATAAATTTCTAATCTCCTGCATGAATTAACAAGATTGCGTTCCGCCGCGCCCCTCCCCCCCTCCAAATCACTACAAAATGAGATTGTGGGCATGCTTTTTGATCTAGTTAATGCAGCACTGTTTGCTGTAACTTCATATCCTAATGAACCTTAGTTCCAAAATGTAATGGAATAGGTAAGTATTTTGTCTTCTGTTCTCTGTTCTGTTGCTGTATGGCTTCATGCTTGTAAATATCAAAACCTAGCAATATGTAAAATCAATAAAAGTGAGCAAGTCAATTTCTAATTCTTTATTTCTTTTTCTACCATGCAGGTAATACTGATTTAGCAATTCAAGAAGAACTGATAGAAGTGTCTGAAACTGATGAAGGGTTTTACTCTAGGGCAACTTCTAGTACAAGTCAGTCTGCCCTATCTAACAGCAGCAACACGAGCAGTAAGAACCTTTTAGGGAAGAGCCAACGAAGGTCTGGAGGAGGTAAAGCTGGAGGAAAAGAAAAAGAAGGCGAAACCTGCAGAGAACACTTGTCACGAAAACAAACTCAGAGAGCCATGAGTGAGAATCTAGAGCTTGTCTCTCTGAAGAGACTGACACTGACAACTAGCCAGTCCCTGCCTAAGCCTGGCAGCCATAGTCTGGCCAGAACAACCACTACTGTGTTTAGTAAATCCTTTGAACAGGTCAGTGGTGTCACAGTTCCAAATAATCGTGGTGGTGTATCTGGTACAGAGGCAAACAGGTTTTCAGCTTGTAGTCTTCAGGAGGAAAAACTGATATATGGAGCAGAAAGAACAGATCTTCCAATTTTAAGCAAACAACCTAATCAGCAGCGACCTCCTAGTATTAGCATAACTTTGTCAACAGATTGATATTAAGTTGGCAAGTATGAAAAATAAAATATTGAGGGTTTATGCTGATATTGGTACATTGGTACATTAAGCTCCTTAATATGCCATACATTACTTTCTTAAACCTCAAGCCCATAAATTCTTACTTGGCTCACATTTGACAGTCATAGTGAATAGACAACAGTTGTAATTATTTTGCATCAACTTCTAATAGCTTGGAAGGTTCCTCTTTGACGTACTGTATTTATACACCTGATTGCTTACGGCTTCATGTGAAGTTCACAGCTTCACCAATTTAACAAGCGTTGATTGGTTGTTTAGCCACTGACCAAGATGTGTGGCTTTATACAAGCATGGTATGGGAACAATAGAGCCTCTTTCCCAGATTCTACTTTTTCACAACCACTTGGCATAGGCAAAACTGGAAGTACTTCTTTTATTAAAAGAAGTCTCACAGTATGGGCATGAAATTTTGGAACAGCATTTTAAGAACAAACATTCTCTTATGTTAACCGTGAGAAAGCTGTGCTTACATGTAAGGTTCAGACTAGAAGCATCAGTTCAGTGTTCGATGTTATGGCGGTTTTTGTAATGGTAGTACATGTTTATGCCTATATGAGTCTGAATTACAGATGCGTTATGTTTTTTCTATACGTTTGAAACTGGGCCAAAAGTCATACAGCAGCAGTATTTGTGGATGGGAGCTCTTATCAATTGCTAGTCACGCTTTAGACTTATGAATTGTGTGACAGATTCTTTCTTTCTTTCAGATTCTTAAATATCGGGCACAAAGCTACTCATTGAAAAGTCACTGTCATCAGTATTTTTATTATTTATGGGGAAGAGATGTGCTTATGTAACAATGTTCTGTAGGAAATAAGGTATGAGCCCTTTGCACTAACTCAAGCAAATCAGGAGTGTGAGTGTGTTTAACATGAACTTCTTACTTGTGACTAAGAGAATACTACCAAAGGATGTGTACTTTCAGTAACTTGCAAGCACAAAGGGAAATTATAATGTAAATATAACTGGCACTGTAATTCCTAGTCTTTTATATCTATTATTTTTCTAGTTTGAAATTCTAAAACAACAGCCTGTTCAAGGTTACTTAACCTTTAACCTTCACTTAGTTTGGTGACCTTGTTTGATACCAACTTTTATAACATTAAGATTTTAATTAAAAATGGACATTAAAACTTTTTATGCAGAAATTTAGAGAAGCAATAGCTGACAAAACCACTCCAGTAGCAGTGATTAGCTGATAAACAGACAATATATTATTATGAGTGGAAAAATAGGATGAAGATCTAAGGCATAGTCATTCCCAACTGTCCAAATTTCTGCAGCTAGTGATCACTTATTATCAAGAACCTGGGAACAAAACAAACACTAGAATTCTGGTAGACTTTCCTATTTGCCTGGAGATAAGTTTAGATATCCCTTTTTGACTTAAACTGAAGCACAAGTAACTTTTAAGCAGCTAATGTTATTCAGGTTTATAGCAATTAATAAGCTGGTTAATTAATGACAAGAGATGAGGAGACATAGTTGATAGGGACAAGTAAGTTGTATAATTCTACTTCTAAGACTGCAGACTAGTTGTATACACTTCTTAATATTCACCAAAGTATGTGGAATAGCTGCATGAGTCTATAGATGTTTATCTTCACCTGAGAGCCTGAGTTTAAATGAATGTACCACACTTTCTCATTCTTCAGTTTCTTGTGTGACACTGTTCTAGTCTAGTAATGCAATATTTCACCTTTTTACAGTGAAGTGTTTTCTTAATTGTACATGAAAACTTACATTCCTAATGTATAAACTACAAGTTTGTCCTGTTTAGTGTTTAATACTTTGGCCAGTGAAATAAACTGGTTCTTTGAAGTTGTATGCTTTTGTAAATACTTTGTACAGCAGACAATTTTGCCTCTTTTTTACAGGTTTTTCTGCAATACACATTAGACAGCACATTTGTTTCAGGTTGACTAATACATGTGGTGGCTGCTGGAGCATGCATAACCACAAGCAATAGAAGGGTTTTAGGCAGCTGATAGCAGACATTGGCTAGCACTACACATACTGAATGTAGAGCTCTTCCTTTCCTTGAAATTCATTCTAGATGTTACGAAGAAACAACCTGCAGAACTTACCTGATATGCTCTTGCAGTGTAGCATTTAAGAGTATTTTGGAAACACTTTACAGTAATTTAAATTGAAACATAACCTAGAATAGATAAATAAAATTGCAGTTGACAAATGTTTGTTGTGATGATATTAGTTGTGAGTTAGTGTTAAGGCACTAGAATTTTTAAGTAATTCTACAGGGTTTGTTTTGTTTCATTTACTTCATGATTGTTTCGGTTATCTCCACAGTAGAAAAAAAATGGTTTAAAAGATGTTTATTATACTGGGAAGATTTAGTCACTGTAGCTATAAATAATTAGAATTTCGAAGCATCTAAAATGCCGTAAAATGTAGATATGTAATTTAATGTTTACAATACTGTTGGCTAACAGTCAAACAGTGTTAAAGTAAAGTTAGTTTATCCTTTTATTTTATCCAGCTAATTATTCTAATTGTGGTCTGGCTTGAACCCTAGGCATAGGCTCATATTGGTAAAACTGCAATTATGTAAAGCTTCATACTTTTTTGAGAAAAAGATGAAAGGAAAGGTTTTTGGTGCTAAAGGCTGCTGTTTCTATACATATGTGGCTTCATATAAATATGTATGTATTGGTCTCTGGAGCAACTTACACAGCAAGCATGTTTTTGTGAACTGACATCACACCTTGATATTGATCAAGTCTAAAGAATTTCTTTCCTGATGTGAATAATAAAATTTTCAGTTGTGCCTCTTTCTTTTCTTAAAAATGGAAAAGAAAAAAAAGCAGAATAGGGGAGAGGGAGGGCAGAATTATTTGTTGTCCAATATCCATGGTGCAGGATTGCGGGGGGAGGAGAGGGAAGGGGGAAAGAAGGGCAGGAAGGAGATATATTGATTCTTTCACAGTACTTCTAAAATTGTCAAGCTCTTGGGTTTTGAGCATTATTTTATGTCTTTAGACTGAGAATGAAAAATGTATATTAAAGAAGTAGAGGTCTTCTAACAGTGTAAGGAAAACCTGTTAAGACATCCCATATTGTATTCTCCCTGGGAGTGGGTAGTTCTGATGAATACACTCCAAACATCATACATGGCTGCAACATTCTGCAGGAAAAATGTTATGTAGGAGTGAATCATCTCAAATTATAGTAAGAGAAGTTGTTTGAATGCTGACATTTATAACTGACCTTACTGTCTTAAATCAAAGAGCACAGTTTCCAATGATGGCTTTGAACACTTTCAAAACTCTGAAGCTGAGAAGAATTATTTTTGTTGTGAGAACCTGTAACATTTGTGCAAAAAGCATACGGCCTCTAACCACTTGCTGTAGAGCTGCAGCGACTTTTCTGAAGGGAGTGAAATGTCCTTGAATTGCCTTGAATACCTGACAGATTTGACAGGTACAGAAATGTACAGCTATTTTAGCCACACTTCTCTCTAAGGAGGTCTCTTCGTATTTCTATGAGGATTCTAGAAATTTCTAACTTAAGTATTATGTCTGATATCTTTTGTCGGTGTTTGAGGCTTACACTGCTGTATATAGGTGTGTAATGTATTGCCTTTTGTATTTCTATAATTCTACTTAAGACTAGATGTGTGCAATTCTTAATATTCACCAAACTCTGTGGAATAGCTGCATCGGTCTATAGATGTCTGTCTTCACCTGAGAACCTGAGTTTAAATGAATGTGGCACACTCTCGTGTTCTTCAGTTTGTTGTGTGACACTGTTGTGTTTTAGTAACGCAGTATTTCACCTTTTTTACAGTGAAGTGTTCTCTTAATTGTACATGAAAACTTACATTCCTAATGTATAAACTACAAGGTTGTCTTGTTCAGTGTTTAATAATTTGGGCAGTAAAATAAACTTTGTTTTGAAGTTGTATGCTTTTGTAAATACTTTGTACAGCAGAAAATTTTGCCGCCTCTTTACAGGCTTTTTTGAAATACACATTAGATGGCAATAGACTTGTTCAGTTTTCATTATACACATCACAGTAAGGTTGACCACATTACTTAAAATATGCTGAATACCCATTTTATGGAGCGTAGGCTCTGCAAATGCAGCCTTGTCAGGTAAGACACCATGCCTAAACCACTTGGTTGAGAAACACTGACTGACAGGTGAAAGGTGAGTTCGAGTTCAAGCAGATGAGTTGTAAACTGGTTGATGGCAGAAGTAGATGACTGTCCTGTCAGTAATGTACCACTATTTAGGCAACTTGGTGGTTTTGATGGTCTTAATATAACAGTAGATTGATACACAGCCATTATCTGCAATGTGTCTTTCTTATTAGATCTCCTATCCAGCAATCTTCACTGTGTTTCTGTGACCTGCTGGCGATCTGGGGGCTGTTGGCCGTCTTTGCTGCAAGGGCGCGTGTGGCTGGCTCACGTTCCCCTTGTTCATGAAGACCCTCAGGGCTTTTTCTGCAAAGCTGCTTTCCAGGTGTCTGGCCCCTGTGTGTGCTGGTGCCTGGGGTGGCTTGTCCCCAGGGGCAGGACTTGGCGTTGCCTTTTAAACTTCCCGAGATTCATGTGTTGGCTCATGTCTCCTGCCCATTGATGTCCCTGTGAATGGCAGGCCCCCCCTCTATGGTATTGACCGCTCCTCCTGGTTTCGTGTTACATGCAGACATGCTGAGGGTGAGCTCTGTCCCATCAGCCAGCTTCATTAGTGAAGATGTTAAACCATCCTGGCCTGGGTATTGTCCTCTGGTGTACACCAGTAAGGCCAGGTCTCCACTGGGCTTGGTGCCACTGGTCACAGCCCTTTGAGCCTGGCAACTGAGGCAATTTTCTGTGCTCAGAGGCCTGGTTTTCCTGAGGGCTGCTCTTGCTGGTAACAACAGAAGCAAAGGCGGCAGTTGAGTACCTTGGCCTTTTCCCTATCTCCTGTCAGCAAGTCCTCTTCCCCACTCAACTGTGTAGCCCTATTTTTCCCTAGTCTTCCTGTTGCTGATGATATTTCTGCTAAAGCTTTTCTTGTTGCCCTTCACCTCCCTTGCCAGATTCCACTTCATTTGGGCTTTGGCTTTCCTAACCCCATCTGTGCGT